TATTTACAAAATTCATCACGTTCTTTTTTGTCTAAAAAGGCAACTTTAATAATAGCCTGGTTGTGCTCAGTAGGATGTCTTCCTTTTGTAGCAATAATAAATGAGTTATATCTGTCATAACACAAATCAGTGATCTGTGAGATCTTCATTTGGGGGTTTGGGCCATGAAGTTTATCCATTGGAATATAAGCAAAAAATTTAGTAACTTGGGTAGAAGGAGCATCAAAACCGATTGTTGTAGTATCTAAGGTATTTCTGACGCGTCAAAAGACTCGTTGACACTATTTGTTGGTTTGAGCACAGCATTTTCAGAGGCTGTGGAAGTTGAAGCAATAATTTCAGGAGTTTTCCCCTTGTTGTGGTTATTAGACAAACTTTCTTCGACTGGGTCGACTTCTATAGTGCTGGTTTCTTCTGGAAGGACAGTTACAAAGGATTCCTTTACATAAGTAAGAGAGAGGTCATTGTCTGAAGTTTGCAGAGTATTTTGTTTCTTTTTTGGTAGTTTGTCAGATATTGGAGATGCAGAGCGGCCGCGGTTGGTGTTCTTTCTTTCAGTTTTTTTTGGCATTTTTTGGAAAAGCAGAAAGAGTTTTTTTTTTTTAAAAAAAAAAAAATAAAAAATAAAAAAAACAAAAAAAGCTATTTTTAGACGATCAGGTATAACGTAAATAGTTCACATGATTGGAATGCAAATGATTCATTTTGATTAAGGAGATGGCATTTTTTGATTATAGAAGTTAGTTGTACAAATCGTTGTGATTTTTTTGATTATTCAGAAAAAAATTATGACTTTTTTGATTATTTGGAAAAAATTGTATTCGAAAAAAATCGTAACTTGTAATCATATGAAAAAGTCGATAAAATTTATTGATAACAACGAAAAAAAGTTAATTCACGCATAAAATTTATTGAACAAATTATGTATTATATCTATACTCTATAGACTATTACTGGTATTTAATCTAACGAATTTTATAATTTTAAAATAAAACATCACATATCATCACCACAATGCAAATATTCTCCAAATTCTATACTTTCAACCATGATTTCTCTTGCATTT